AAAAACCATGCCTCAGAGAAGCAGCTCAGTAACAGTATCCTTGCCTGTCCTCTTCAGCTGCAGGACAGAGTTGCCTGCCCAGCATTATGCCCTCAACAGAGGAGCTTTGCAGGCCAGCAGATTCCCTCTTAACCCAGAACTGGCAGGGGGCGGGGGGAACGCAGGTAGGGGAAATGGGGACAAGGCTGCTCCCCATAGTTACTGGAGGAATTAACTACCTCACTGGGCTTCTGCTCTCTTACCATGGAAGTAGGAATAGGGATCCTGTGAGCATCAGATCCAGTCAGTCATGAGAAGGAGCTGTGTGAATGATAACATGGTGCAATGATGGCTCCCAAAAAGCTCTCTGTTATTTAAAAGATTTCAATTATGCAGCATGTTATTTTGAATTAAGGGTCATGGATTCTATATTTTGGTTATCTGGGTGTTGCTTTAAATTCTCCTATTTGGAATAAACATGTCAAAGTTACTTTAAAATATATTGCTTATTAGATGAATAGAAATAGTCTTTGTAAAAATAATATTGCATATATACCTACTACAATATTATGATTAGTTACTTCAGTAAAGAAAATCTTAAATGGGACTCTGCCTTTTAAATTGGGTTGAGGCAGAAGGAAAAGCCCATAATGGTGCCCCTGTCAAAATGAGTGAAAACAAAAGGATACGAGGCACGGCCTGCAAGCTTGTTGACTTGTGACTTTGTGGCAACATCTGTTCCTAACTACCGCTGGGCTGTAAGTGCCCATAGACATGCCAAGGACAGCAGGTCATGTCGGGGCTCCCCTTCAGTTAATTGCTTCAAGTTCTGTATTTTGTAGGCCCAAAGCTTCCCTGGCACCAAGCGTTTGTCCTGGAGTGTTACACATGATTCTTGCAAGGGGGCCAGGGAAAGTAGTCAAGGAGCATACAGCACTCTCTATATAATGAAGTGTTATGCTGCCATTTCCTAGATGCCTATTACATGCCAGGCACTGTCCTAGGTGGTTGTACGTGTTATCCCATTTAATCTGACCAATAATCCCGTGAAACTGAATATTATTTTCACTTTGGAAGGTTTTGTTTCTCATCTGTGAAAGCCTGGCCCCTTTAAAGAACAGGTGTTACAAAGATGTTGAATTAATTTTCAATGATTTTAGCTTCTGAGTGGTATCTGGGGCTTTTGAATCTCATACTTTTGTTTTAAAAACCTGTCAGTTTATAGTTAATAACATAGATTTACAAGTGTAATAACAATTTATTTTCATTTAGTTATACTGTATAAAATATGATTGGCTTATTCCACATCCAGCCATTTAGTTAAAAAAAAAAAA